AAAAAAAAAAAAAAGCTACTATCAAGATGAGAGTCCCAGTACCGCCACAAACATTGAGAAACCATCACAACCCCAACCCAAATCAGTGGTTTAGATGAATTGTCATTGATGGTGAAGAGTATTTTTATTCTTATCTCATCTGATATAGTTCCCAAATGGAATCAGAAACCCAAAAGAGAAAGACAAGAAGATAAACAGAGTAAGCGTGTATATAATTCCTTAGTCAGTATCCCAAGGGAGATCAAGAAGAGTCAGAAAAGGGAAGATATTGGTAAGTAAAGAAATCACACGTTCAAGTATATTTCCAATGTCTTGACATTATTGCCAGCACATTAGAAAATACTTTATAGCCCTGCAGCTATTAAAAATCAAGTAGTATAAAACAACTAGATCAAGTTCTATTAGAATTTAACCAAATTGAAGAATACATGAAACTTCATTTACAGAAGGAAAGAAAGTTTATTTCACTTACACAAGATTGATTAATCCAAGCATGCCCATGCCTCTGAAGTCTGTTTTGGGATCATCACCCTGGAAACCAATGTCAGCCCACTGCTTGGAGATTCTAGCCTTCAACTTTTTCGTGGGCATTAGAAGATTCCAAAGCTGTACAAACATGCTTTCATATTACAAATAACAGTGATGCTCTTAATTTACCAAGACATTCCCTCCTGTAGCTGCTGATGTCCCTCGTAAGCTGAATGCTTTCAATTAAACCATCTTTGCAGACAAATCATAGGTACAACAGGCATTCTATTCAGGGACTTTTAGATTATCCTTTAAAGATAAAGTGCAGCACACTTATTCCAATTTAAAAGGGTGATATAAAGAACAGATTTTGAAAAGCTAACAGATAAATAGAAATCTAAAACGAAATGCCTCTTCGCTAAGTAACCCACCTCTAGCAGACTGGGTCAAGTATTTCCTTGAAAAGAGCACAGAGTTAGATACCTGGGCTTTTTCTCAAACACTGTACATGTAAGTAGGCTCTGTCCTGAGAGGGGTGATTAGTCCCGGATCAGGAGGAGGACAACAGATCTGAACTAGGAAGGGGATCATGAAGAAGCAACACGGACAGTACTCCAACCCACAGGATTACATTTGTCCAAATTTTCAGTTTTAAAAGAAAAAAGTAACAGGAGTTGGTTCTAAGTAACTATATTCCTTCAGACTGAGGATTTAAGAACAGATGTCAAATATCAGATAGCAACAAACTTTAATCAAGGCAAAATAAATTTTAAAATTGAATCTTCGTTCTCTAAATGTGACACCATAAAACATCACATGAAACAGATTTATGGGAGCTGGTGAGCATCTGCAAACCAGAAACACTGCACCCCCATCTCACACCGTTGCAGGCACAGGTGAGTAAAGGACTCCTAATGAAAGGAGGATCTTGTTACCTAAAATAAAATGTGAAACCTGTGGCCTTACTTTAGGACAGTGTCAGGCTCTGGCCAATCCGTGGGTTTTCACTGGTCTTGTCTTTCACTAACACGGGGAATTTGCTCACAATGGTGTCTCCACGATTCTATCAGGGGGTTGATGACACCAATGAGAAGGTTCACTATTAGAGAATAGGCTGAAAAAAATGTTTAACTTATGGGAGTGATTCGTGTGTGTGTGGGCTGAGGGGAGGAACCTAAAGTTTCTGGATTCATATTATCGGGTTGACAAGATGTCCCTGTATAAGCTAATAACTTTCTCAATTAAAAGCAATAAATAAAATGTACTTGAATCTATTTTATTGATGCTTGTCAGAAAATTATCAAACAGTTAATAAACATCTTTCACCAATATAATAAAATTCTCTAGAGGACAAAGACATGGGAGGCTCTACTCACTGGCCTCAAGAGCTTGTGCAAGGCCGGCCTGGCTCAAGCCTGCGTCCTTTCCGCAGGGCCCCATAACTCCGAACACAGAAAACAAAATCTACCTTGAGAAGCAGCTCTTCATGCTGCAGGTTATCAGAATCATACGGCCTTTTCCTCACACTTTCCACATCCAAATAGAGCTGCTTGTAGCCAGTTATCTGCAGTAAGCACGCCTTCATGCAGATTTTAAAGCTGATAAAAAGTATTGAAAACAAATTATATTCTTATAACAATGAAGTGTCCCTCCCATTACTAGAGGCTCCTCAGTTGCGAAAACACATTCTCACTTGCAGTTTCATACAACAAATGTCAAGAGCTTGCACAAACACAAAACATTATACAAAGTACTGTGCAGACAAGACGGGAATGGCAACCTGCACCGCGGGATCTGTTCTCAGTTCATGTTTTCCTTGGGCAACTTCGTGCATTCGCAAATCTTTATTGCCAGATATCCTCAACAGGTTACCTCACTTCTCTCAGCACAACAGCCCTCTCCATGAACAAATGGGCTCTTCATCTAAATCCAATAACTCTGACTCTGTTGACAACACTAGTAACATTAGTTCCCCAAGGTAGAACCTTCTGAGCTCTGGTCTTTTAATACTATCAGAATATAAAAGGCCCCTTCTGCCTGGAAAGCATCCCTCAAGAGCAATTTCCCACTGCCCCTTATCTGTTTATGACTTTATCATCTCTTGCCTGTGCAACGCCGTCCCTAACTTTTCTTGGTTCTACCAATGACACAGACCCAGAGCCTGGACTCACATTGCTACAGGAGCCACAAGGCCTTCCTGGAGGAGGGCAGAGGAGACAAATTTGAAAGGACATGGTTATGGAAGTTAATGGACTCTGGGAAGCTAAGGCAGATTATCGTAAACTGGCAAGACACTGGCATGTAAACCAAAAGATGCAGGTTTTGGTCCTGCTTCTGACACCACCTCTAGTCCTCATCTCAGGAAGAAAAAGGGTTCAGTCAGGTATTCCCATGAGCCCTTCAGACCCATGTGCATGCACAAGGGAAGAGACTATGACAACAGCATACCTTGAGTCCTTCTCCAGTTTAATATTCTTTTCCTTCATTATATCTTCTACACACTTGTCCACTCCACCCTGAACAAGCGTTGAGTTCCGTAAAACCTATTTATGTGAAAGGAAACTGTGTGTGAAAACCCTGCTCAGCTGGAAGAGAAGAGCTAGCTGAGAGACACAATGGCCAGCTTCACAATGGTGAAAGGCAAAAGGAAAGCTAATTTGCTTCATATTTCACTAGGGCTCATGCCTTAAGTAAATAAGCTATTATTCTTCATTAATAAAAGGAAAGTGGCCTGGTATCAGTGAAGGTTTCCTTAACTGAGAGCCGCTGATGAGTTCTTAGCAAATGAGCCACCACCTTGGCGCACTGGTGAGGCAGAGACTTGCTTATATAGTTAGAAAATTAGGAAGCAAAATGTACACCAAGTTTAACCACCAGTCAATGTTTTAAATGCAGAAGAAACGAAACTCAAATAATCTTGTACTGCTATCACCAGTGACAGCCCCGGGGACAGACTGACATATACCCTTCCAGTCTCTTTTCTAGGCATAGGAAACACATTTCTTAACTAGTAGGTCTCCGCCCTGCACCTGGACTTAGGCTTGTACTGACCGTTAGCCAGCGGGACAGCTACGTGTTTGGCCCTCTCCAATCCACTGTGAAAAGAACCTACATTTCTCTAACCTGCATCCCAGAATGAAACAATCAGAACACACCTACACCGGGCACAAATGAAGAGGCAGGAGACACACGAGTGTGAGGTTAGTAATACTGTTACATGCTCCTGAGATTTTGTAATGTTAGGAAGCAAACATGACGTGAGGAGTGACTTTTTTGGCTCAAACAGCACATGGCTCAGGGTTTTCTGCAACTATCCCACACCACTTCCCTGCCTCTCACAAGAGGCAGTTAAGGACCCAGTCAAAATAGTTTCCCCTCTAAAACCTGGCTTTTCTAAAAGTATCAAGCTGAGGCAAAAACAAACAAGGAAGCATAACCTCAGAACAGGACAAATTACACAAATAACTTCTATATGCAAAAATAGTGCAAAAACAGACACACAGGAAAAGAAAATGTTATAGACTGTCACTTCTAAAGTGGGAGAATTTCATTCAATATTCTTTACTCCAAAGAATGTTCTAGAGGGACATTAAAAATAGTTAATTCTAAACATGAAGCATCCTTTCAAAGAAAAAGTATCTCCAAGTTATATTTTCTAGAATTATCAACTTGATAGGATCCTACCTTATTCTTGGAGTATGTTAAGGAATTTTCTGAAATGGAAAAAAGAAAAAGTGATCATTCAGTAATAGATTTATAGATCTAGAAGATCATTTCTACATGAAAAACATAATATTAGAAACTTTTATCCTACTTATACAGAAAGCTAGATGCTACTGCGAAATCTTTAAGCCCACAGAACATTTTAGCATCAAAGAGGTGAGGCCAACCTAATGTCTCTGGGGTAATCTGTCTCCATGTGGGCCCCCAAGTGTCCACTGACCACGGCACGTTCATGGCGACCTCAGAAGAGCTCAGGTCCCAGAACTGGGGATGACCACAACAAAAGCACTTTCTGCTATGTTTTCTTCATTTGTAGCCTTATGAAATGTGCGCCTGGATTTGCTAAGCAAGCAACTGAATCCTTCACACAGTGAAAGGGCAAAAATAAGGACTTCGAATTATCTGGCTAACCATGTTAGCCAGACTGAGAAACAGTTCTCCGTTCATCTTTCCGGGCTCATCAGTGACAAATCTACTAATGAAATTTTCTGACACATTTACTAAAAGTCTCCCTTTTCTCAGCAATTTGAGACATGCTTCTGCCTTAATATGTTCTTCCTCACACCATATACCGTATCCAGTACAGGCAAGATTTCTTCCAAAAGGTGCTTAGTTCTTTTCAGGGGTGTCAAAGAGCAAGTCAAAAAAGCAGGCAATAATTCAATGGTCACAAAATTGTGGGAAAACTAGGGGAGTAATTAAACTTCCATCAGCCAGCTGCCCTGGGGTTTACTCTCTCAGGTCTAGCTCCTTCCAACATTGCCTTGGATACCAGTTCCCACTCCCTAAATCGTACAGGGGTGGGTCTCCTACTGGATGCACACTGGAAACACGGATGAGGACCTACTTAATTCATGATTTTCTATTTAATCCCGTGAACATGAACGGACCTGATCCCTGCTTCCTCCTTTAGCCAAAATGATCCCACCACACTCCTTACTCGACATGTTCTAATTCAAAGCAATATTTTCTTTTAAGCATTGACTAATGAATGAATTTTCAAAGTACTAGAGAGAGCAGCACTGTTCAACAGGAATATCCTGTAGGCTAAGATGCGAGCTGCAAGAGCTTCTTTAAATTGTTCAGGAAGTCCAATGAGTATATTTTAACCTAGTAGGCAAATTATCATTTCAACATAAAATGAACACAGATATTAAAATGCTGCATTTTTACATGTTTTTTTCACATAAACTTTTTTAAACAAAGTGTACGTCTTATATATTTCCACATCACAGAACACGAAATTTCAAGGGCTCAACAGCCAAGTGGGGTTACTGGGTAGAATACTGGGCAGTGCAGATTTTGAGTTTAATCATCTTTCCTAGGGAATCTGTGGAAGCCCACTGCTGCCCTTTCATGAATTACCTAAGAGATTAAAATGATTGGTGAAGGATGCTGAGTATAAACATGGAACTAGATTCAGCCACATTCTTCAACTGGAGTGAAAATTTCCAAGGGCTTTTAGGAAGGAGTATAGAGATTTTTCTCTCTTAAGTAGTTTGCCACTACTGATATAAAGCACAACTGAAGGCTTTCAGGAGACAAAGAAGATAATTGTTTGCACAGATAGGAAGTTAAAGAATCACAGTTTCTGAGCTGGAAGGATCCAGTACTAGATTTCAGAGAATGAAACTGAGTTTAAATAACTTGATTAGGACAATAAGCACATCTGTCACTAGGAGTACTGAGAAAAATTAAAATAAAGTATCAGTTTTGAATATTCTTTTCCACTTAACATTACCTATCCTGTGTGTCCTCTGTGCACCTACATAGGTGTCAAAAATCCGCTGCAATTCGCACTTGCCAGTCATCTGCCGTAGGAGCCATTTCATCCAAAATCGGAGAAAGTGCCCATAGAAGAACTCCCATAAAGAAATAAACATGTTTGTTTGTTTGTTTTCCTGGAGAAGGAAATATATGATAGGTTTAATGGCCTTAGATTGGATTTTAGAATGGAAAAATCAGTTTATCCAACTCATCAAATCTCAACGATGGCGATAATATCACTGTTACCCCTTTGTGTCTATTCTGTGGTAGTGTCCAGGCACCTAGGAGACAACGACAGGTATGATAAAGTCCACTAAGACGAAAGGGCAGCGATCAAACGATCCATTTCTCCTTTTCAAAAAGTTAACTGTAAAAATCAGCACTACTTAGATGCAAGCTCTCAGTTCCCCATTCTAATTCCTGATTGAGAAATGGGGCTCAACAAATGAGCAAAAGGACCCCAACTAAGCAACCATTCTAGCACATATACCACACTGCTGGAATGTTTTAAAAAGTCCTTCACCCCTGTGGATGATTCCAGTTCCATCCGTAGTTAAGTGAGGTGACCGGGTGACGCCAGCAAATAAAAACACTATGCATGGTTTGCAAACGGAAATCTACACGGTGAGCAGGGATTTGATCACACCCAGGGAACTGCTGACTTTCCAATCAACATATGAAAGGGCAGAAAACTAGCGGTCGTTAACCACACCCTCTATTAAAGGGAAGCTTTGTTATCAGGACAATCTTCAGATGCCACAAGAGCGGGGCCTGGGGGAGACCAGCCAGGAGTTACTTCCAAGCCGCCAGGAGCGCGCATCTCCTGCCTGCCTCCAGCAGCCCCACAGATGCATCCTCTCTAGGGCCGGGGGCTGTCAGACCCGAACCCCGCGGGTTCAGCAAAGACCGCCTGAAACTGTAACTTGGCGGCGAATCCATCTAGTCCGCGCTCTTGGCGGCAAAAGCGGCCGAAGCGCCCGGCGGCAGGAACGCGGGGCTCGCGGCGCCGCGGCGCCCCGCACTCGGGGAAGGCAACGCCGCAGCCCCTTC